CCGGCCCTTTGCTCGAGGAGGGGAGAGGAGAGGAGAGGAGCAGAGGGTCGCGGCATGAGGGTGGGGGGAGGGCCTCTGCCTCTGCCTCTGCCACGGCCTGCTGCCCTCGGGCCTGTCCCTTCGCCTCCGGGAAAGCCCAGCCCGAGCCCGAGCCCTTCCCGGCTCATAAACCCTGTTTACCCTGGAGCCCTTACAGCTGCTGCCCTTTGCCAAACGCGGAAGCCGCTCCCAGGCCATGGGGCTTGTTTGATCCTGGCAGCGGGGCAGATAGGAGGCCCGGGTTATCTCCAGGCTCGGCGGGGATGGCACGGAGCCATGGCGCAGCCCGCCTCGTCGCGCCCGAGCCCCTGGGCCGGGCAGACTTGGCCCCGAGCCTCCCCAGACGGGGCATCGCCCCACCTGCTCCTAAAAATACCCGAGCCACGCTCCCAGCACCCCTCGCCTGGGCCTGGTGGAGCCGGGCTAGGGGCCAGGAGCCAGGGGCTCTGCGCTGCACAGGCGGCAGGGATGGGAGCCCCGTCGGGTCAAGGATCCCAAGCCAGTCAGGTCTCCCCTCTGGCCCTGCTGGGGGAACTGGGCGGGGAGGGGGCTTTGTGCCGGGTCGTCTTGCTGCACCGAGCCGGGATTGAGCCCGGCCCGCGGGTCTTTCCGCACGACGCTGCTCCGTGTCCGTGCCACCCGCCACGGCATGAAGAGGCCCGGGCAAGCCAAGGGCTGGTAAAAGGCGAATTAAATAGGAAACAAAATGTTCCCTCAAAAATATGGTGGGGGCAGGGGGTAAAAATCCCCTTATGAACGGAGAAATGGGGCTCAGCCTCAAAATCCCTTTTCCCCCCTCAAAAACGCCCCCCCCCAACACCCAACCTTTTCTTGCTCCCTTCAAAACAGCTCTTCCCCGCGGACTGCCTTCCTACTTCTCCAGACACCCCTCTTCGCCTCGAAACTCAGCCCACATTTTGCCGCAGACGTCCCCTTCTTGCTCGCGGCCGCCCTTTGCCCGCTCCAGCCCCTCTCTCTCCCGCCCCTGAGAGCTGAAGTTTTTGTCCCCAAGCGACTCCGCGCCGCCCTTCACAACGACTTCTTTATGGCCTCAAAACCCACGTTTTCTCTCAAAACCACCCGCTTTTTCACCTCCGAGGGCCTTGCCACCCCCCCAGGCAAAAACAGCTGAGTTTGCCTCAAAAATGACTGTCCCCCCCCGCTGCCCTTTGCCCCAGGACAGCCCTTTTCGCTGCAGCGCTGCCCTGTCGCCTCCTTCCCCTCGCAAGGGCTTCTCTTGGCAGCAAAATCCCCTTTTTGCCTCAAATAAACGTTTCCCTTCAAACTGCCCTTTCGCCGCTTGCTGAGGGGCTTCCCCAGAGCGCCGCGCCGCGCTGCGCCGCGCCGCGCCCCAGAGACGTGGGCTTCTGCCTCAGGAAGCCCCTCTCTTCTTCCCCCCCACCTCAAAACCCCAGCCTGGCTCCCCCCAGGTCCCCGTTCACCTCACACGGCCCCTCTTTTCCTTCTCAAACGATCCCTTTCCCCTGAAAATCCTGTGTTGCCTCAAAAGTGCCGCCACGCGAGCCGCCCCGTCCCCTTGCCCCGCGCTCCCGGCTGCACTGCGCCAGCGTCTGGTTTGAATGGCAGAGAAGCGCGGGTTGGCGTGTCGGGCAGAGAAGGAACAGTGGAGGATATTCTCCGGAGAAAACCAGAGCCTGGTTTTGCTGCTGCTCGGCCCGCAGCACCCGGGCCTGCATG